GGGGGGGAGGGTAGTTGGTGGGGATCTGGGGGTGAGGGTAGTTGGTGGGGATCTGGGGGGGGAGGGTAGTTGGTGGGGACCTGGGGGGTAAGAGTGGTTGGTGGGGATCTGGGGGGGAGGGTAGTTGCCGTAGCGGGGTGGCTTGGTTGTTATGTTTGTAACCAGGCTGTTGTCTTAAAGAAAATTCTTTTTGTTTGTTTGTTTGTTTCTTCAGGTGGACCAAATTGAGAATTAACATGCTTCCTGCAACAATAATTTGTGAGCCAATTTCAGAATGCTTTGTTGCCAGTTTAATTATTGGGTGGGCAGCCCACCATGTGTTCAGATGGGATATCATGGTCTTCTTCATGTGCCACTGCCTGGCATGGTTTATATTTGACTACATTCAACTCAGGGGTGTCCAGGTATGTGGGTTTGTAGTAACTTGGTGAGGGACCAAAACTATTTTAATTTAGAAAAGGTTGAAGAAAGTCTGAGTCATTCTTTAGCTTCACACTGAAGAATAAAATATAGACATAAAATGAAACAAAATTTGGAACTTAGTTAAAAACAGTGAAGTAAAACAAATAAATATTCAAACTGAGACTGCAGTTATTTTAATACTGCTTTTCCTAATGAGCATTTTTTTAGACTATATTGCAAGACAATTATGTCACCCAAGGGGACACCTTAATTTTAGTGGTGCCAAGAGTGGAGTCCCAGGAACTCATTCATCTTTCTGTGTGTGTGTGTGTGTGTGTGTGTGTGTGTGTGTGTGTGTGTGTGTGTGTCCCCGTGTCCGTGTCTGTGTCCATGTGTGTCCTTGTTCCCTTGTGCAGGCTTGTCCTCCCTTCTACCAGGTGGGGTCTGGGGATTGAACTCAGGTCATCAGGCTTTGGCAGCAAGTATCTTTCCTTGCTGAGCCATATCGCCAGCCTAGAGTTTTAGTCTTTCACTGTGCATTTAGTTTGACAGGAAATAAATTGATTTTTGTTTTTAATTCTCAGGGTGGCACACTGTGTTTTTCAAAACTTGATTATGCTGTGGCTTGGTTCATCCGAGAATCCATGACAATATACATTTTCTTGTCGGCATTATGGGACCCCACTATAAGCTGGAGAACTGGTCGCTACAGGTTGCGGTGTGGAGGAACAGCAGAGGAAATCCTAGATGTCTAACAAGAGCTTCGCGACTGTGCACAGAGGACGGAACAGAAGTAGTATAAATTATGTTTATAGAGATGCTTTTAAGGATCTACCTTCAGTAGTTTTATCACATGTATGTTTTGGTATCCGCTCTTTAATTTATTTGCATGGCACTTGCATCTGTGAAAAGGAAAAAAAACAAAACAAAACAGGTCTGTAGGCTTGGCCAATAGCATATTTTGTGGAAGTAGAGAATCAAGACAATTGGTTCTAGGAAACTGGGTTTGTTTTTTTGTTGTTGTGTTTGTTTATTTTTTAAACAAACAAATATATATATGTATATATTTATATATACATATATATATATGTACGTACACACACACACAGACAGACAGACTGCTCTGCAGCAGACACTATGACAGTATCCTTCAGTAGGGAAAGTTTCTTACCTGAGTGGACGCACTCTGCAATCTGTATAGGCAGGACAAGAGCAGCTCTGTGAGAGAAGAGGACAGGTCACGCGCCTCCCTGTGTACAGTGAAGGGTGTTTCACGGGGAGGCGCCGGCGGAGAAACTTTTCCATGCTTTATGCCTACCTCCTGTAGCTGTTGCAGAGCGAGTAGAAGTTAGGGGTTGTGATGCGGTAGCTAGGCCTTGCAAAAACAAATGGAAAACTTTACAAAGTAATAATAATAATAATAATAAGAGCTGGAGTCTAGTATTTATATGAATCTGTGAGGAATTTTTTTTTTTCTGTCTCACTTCAATGAACCAAAAGTGGCTGAGATTGGTTTTTAATCATAACCATGAATTGAAGGCATCTTTCGGACCAACTGTTGTTGGCTCTGTCTTGAACCATGTTAATCACTGTGCTGTAATTAGAGCTGAATCTTTCCTTCCCTGCTCCTCACCCAGCCCGCCCCATCTTTCCTTAGCTTTTTTTCAGGGTTGGGGTGGGGGGTGATCTTGTTTTAGTGTGAGTGGATGTTTTGATAGTTGTAAGGAAAAATGCATTTCAGACACAGTTCACAGGAGCTATTTTCTTACCCAGTATGTCTGTATTGTTAATAAGAATGTAATTTCATGATACAGGTATTTAATATCTTTTTTAAGTAAGTAAATATTCTAGCTATCAGTATACCAATTACAGTAGAGAATTAAGAGAGGGCGTGATGAGGTTTGCTCTTAAAATCAGTCAGTATCTAACTGAGTCTACTGTGTGTGTGTTGTTTGTTTGTTTTTTGGTGTTGTTTTTTCCTTTTTTTTACTATGACAGTGTAGTCTTATTTAAATTGGATTTTTGTATTCAGTTTGTATGACCGTAGACTAGGTCAGCCTAGCTGTAAATGCATGCCGTGCTGCATTCCTCTCTCTCCATCGCGCAGCTAATCCTGCTTGTCAGCCTGTGCCTCACTTGTGGTGAACTGGACTTTCGTTTAAAATACGAAAACATGTAAGGGACAGTGCATCAGCCTTTACCCCCGGCCCCGGTCTTTTTAAGTGGTCTTTTGCTTTTCCTTCCTAATTCGGTGGCATGTTGTCCACCTGATGCCTGCTGCCAACACCAGCACCACGGCAGCTTCACATCCTGTGTTACTGTGGCTTCCGTGTCCGCACATAGCGAGTAGCCTATTAGCAATAACTTCCTGTTTATAGAGAACACTTCCTCCTACTGAGCCAGTCCATTTGCCTAATGACTATACACACGGTCTAAATTGCAATATGTCTGTAAATGTGTATATACTATAAATACACACCTCACTTACGTTTTTTCGGGGCCAAACTGCGTTACCCTTCTTTCCCTCTTTCTCCTGGCCGCCTCCTTCTCTCTCTCTCTCTCTCTCTCTCTCTCTCTCTCTCTCTCTCTCTTGCCTTATGACGAATTTGTTTGAAGGGCATTTTCTTTATGAGCAAAGGCTTGGATGCATATTCCTTTTTTTTTTCTTTCTGTGAAATGGGTAATAATGTCCCCCCGAGGAAAGTTGCACAGTGAAAACCAGTCTGGTTATGACCCACTACGTGTTTATTTTTGAATCACTCTCATGAGTGGAGTTTTGCTGAGCGTGTTTGTCACAGTCCGTTTGTTTAGTCGAGTTTGGTAGACGCCATCCTTTGCACTGCTGAAGTGAAATCTTGCTGACGACTTAGCTTTTTTGTTGATCTCAGTATGGGCAAAGAAACAAAATCCAAATGGCTGGACAGACTTCCTGTGTTCTGTAAATATTAAAAAAAAAAATGTTCTGTATGTGTGTTTTATGTGGTCATGGAGTATTTCCTTAAAATGGAACTTCAAGTACGCGGAGTAATTCTTTGTGTAGCAAGTTTGGAGTGAAGAGAAAATAGTAAGAAATACTGTAAATGTCAAAGTATCGCAGCAGAACCGTAGGAGTCCAAATTTATAATAAACTGTCTTTTTAAAAAACCAATTAAGTGTCTAGAATATATCATGTTTTATTATTTAAAATTATTGTCTTAAGTTTTTTTTTTTTTTGTTCAGAAAATAAAAATTTGAATACAATGAACATGAGCAACAGTGGTTTTGTTTACTCCCTCTTATTTTCTGCTTCTGGTCAGTGATCTAACCTGGTCTATCTCAGGCATATGGTCATTCATTTTCAAATCTTGCTTTCATTTGGGCTGCCCTAGGCTGGAGAGCATAAAGTACATGTGCCCAGGCCACACATCTACATTAATCATCCTGGGTGGGGCTGTATTCTGCTGTGGCTGCACTTAGAGAATCACTAGCCCTTAATGACCATGAACTCTAGTACAGACCCACAATTCCCTTTGCGAGCTCTCCACTGGCTGCGTGAGCCTGCACTCTGTCTCTTCAATTGTATCACTTCCATAGTTAAGAAAGGTAAATCAGTCCCAGGGAAGGACTGGGGTGGTCTTGCTGCCCGCGATACTGAGCTGCACCCCCACACTGTCCAGGCAGGCCTCTCCCAAGCTGGAGGCATTCCCAAGCCTCTCCCCAGTAGCCCATGAGTAACAATATCTGGAGAACAAATCCAGCTGTGTGTGTTTGTGGTGTGTGTGTGTGTGTGTGTGTGTGTGTGTGTGTGTGTGTGTGTTATGTCCCCCAGAGCAAGCTGGCTAACTAGACAATCCTGATTGACCTCTAGGTTCAAAGATAGACCTTACCTCTCAATACATATTGTGGAGAGTGGTCAAGAAGACACCACATCAACTTCTGGCCTGTGTAGACATGAACCCACACATGAACAGACATCCACATAAGCAGGCACACCACGTGTACAGATGTAAAACAACAAAAGCCCTTATGTTCTTGTTGTGCGGGCTTGATTTGCGTTCCCTAGAAGGGTTTTTAGTAGTTCAATACAGAGCAGCAGCCTAAGAACCAGTATGTGCTAAGCCTTCTCGGGGCCTTTTCCCAGTTCTGGGAGAGGCTGCCAGAGACTAGGTGTCTGGGGATGTTTTCATGTGGTTATGCTGTTAGACTGTTAGTCATCACGACATCCATGCTAATAGCATGAAGATATAATTACACGATCTGAACAATTTAGGGATATCATTCCTGTGCAGGACTGAGAATCTGTGTACCAGCCTCCCCTGAAGACTGCACACTTCCTGTAATGTGACCTGTTTCCCAGCTCCACAAATCCTGGGACTTCTGTTATCGCCTTTCATGACTGACAGACAGCCAGAGCAACAACAGTTGGAGAGTCTAGTTGATTGTGATGTAAACACTGGAGCATGGGAAGGGAATCGAGTTAGAAGTGGGGATGGATGGGCTGGGCATCATGGCCCATGCCTGTAATCTTAGCATTTGGGAGGCTGAGTTACATAGCAAGATCCTACTTAAAAATCAAGTGGGAGAGGTTTAGGGGTCGTTTTGATAGAGCTGCTGTCTGAAGGTGATGATCATGACACAGACTAGCAACAGATGGCAGAGCAAAGGACAGAACCTCAGGGAGCTATTTATAGGATAGAGACATCCAGGAAGGGACTAGATACACAGCTCAACCGGGAAGCACTGGCTTCTCTCCCAGAGGACCTAGGTCTGATTCCCAGCATCCATGTGCTTTGTTCACAAACATCTGTAAATCCAGTTCCAGGAGATCTGACATCCTCTTCTGGCCCCTGAGCACAGATGATATGTATGGCAAAACACCAATACAGGTAAAATAATTATTTACAAAATCCAAGAAGACAGACTTCCAGCTCTGAGGTTATGTGGATCTCTTGATGGCCCTGGGACTCTGGCCAGCTTTCTTTCTTTCTTTCTTTCTTTCTTTCTTTCTTTCTTTCTTTCTTTCTTTCTTCCTTCCTTCCTTCCTTCCTTCCTTCCTTCCTTCCTTCCTTCCTTCCTTCCTTCCTTTCTTTCTTTCTTTCTCTCTCTCTTTCTCTCTTTCTCTCTTTCTCTCTTTCTTCTTTTTAAGATTTATTTATTATGTATACAGTGTTCTGCCTGCAGGCCAGAAGAGGGCACCAGATCTCATTACAGATGGTTGTGAGCCACCATGTGGTTGCTGGGAATTGAACTCAGGACCTCAGGAAGAGCAGCCAGTGCTCTTAACCGCTGAGCCATCTCTCCAGCCCCCCTGACCAGATTTCTTAGTCATTCTGAAACCCAGTGTATTACTGTATACAATGATGGACTTTGAGGTCCTCTCCTTGGCTCATTAGATGAGGTGTATAAAATTTGATGGTTAGTTCCTTTTTGCTTCTGAATAAGAAATTTCCGTGGGCCGGGTGGTGGTGGCGCACACCTTTAATCCCAGCACTTAGGAGGCAGAGGCAGGCAGATCTCTGTGAGTTCAAGGCCAGCCTGGTCTACAGAGTAAGATCCAGGAGAGGCACCAAAACTACACAGAGAAACCCTGTCTCGAAAAAAGAAAAAGAAAAGAAAAGGGAAGGAAGGAAGGAAGGAAGGAAGGAAGGAAGGAAGGAAGGAAGGAAGGAAGGAAAAGAAAAGAACAGAAGAAAAGAAAAGAAAAGAAAAGAAAAGAAAAGAAAAGAAAAGAAAGGGGGGAAGAAATTTCCGTGGGGGTATCTTGGAAAGAGACTTTAGAATTTAGAAAGAGTCAGGCGTGGGGGGTGTCATGGATAATTGGAAAAAGAAAATGAGTTCAAGAGCGGGCACCATCCCCAGGGGGCTGCATCTCCATCCCTGGTGAATTGCCTCACATAATGAGGGTGGAGTCTCTGTGTGGGAGTAACATCCTTGTGTTGTGATTTTTCTTAATATGGTATATTTTATCCCACAAGAGAAAAAGCAGTGGGGTTTCCACAGCTAAAAAACTGGCTCTGTCCTTGATGATGCCCATCCTCCTCTTTTTTTTTTTTTTTTCACTGAAGAAACTTCTAAAGAAAGGCATCTATCTCTAGAGGACTAGCTCAGCAGGGTGGAGCTTCAGAAGTGAAAAGATCCCAGCATAGGAGGAGGAGGAGGAGGAGAAAGGAAAGTCATGACACATACCCAGCCACACGGTGAAACCACAGATTCTGACTTGAGCTCTCAAGAAGGGGAATTCCTTGCTGCCCCACCCCTCATCCGCCAGCTCTGGCCACAGTGTGTCTTCATTTTGTTATTGCTTCTCAGCCTCGGTTGCTAATTTCCTACTTGGACCGCATTGACCTAACTTCAGCTTAACCTCTGGCATCGGCTTCTTTCTGACCTCATTGTTTAAATACTGAGGCTTTTAAGCAATAGACAAGGCTTTTTTGTTTGTTTGTTTGTTTGTTTGTTTGTTTGTTTGTTTTTTGTTTTTTTGAGACAGGGTTTCTCTGTGTAGCCCTGGCTGTCCTGGAACTTGCTCTGTGGACCAGGTTGGCCTCGAACTCGGAGATCCGACTGCCTCTGCCTCTGCCTCCTGAGTGCTGGAATTAAAGGTGTGTGCCACCAATGCCTGGTTCAAGGTTTTATTTTTGCATGTCAAATTGTGAACCACCAAAACCATCAGCCATTTCTTGAGAATGTAGCAGCAGTATACTGCTGTAATATCCTAAACACTAGGGAAACTGATGTTGTATGATATTTTGTTTGTGTTCTGACAAAGCTTGCCTGGAGATCAGAAGGCGAAGCTAGCCACTAGTGAGCCATAGACACCAGGCAGTGGTGGCACACACCTTTAATCCCAGCATTTGGGAGGAGGAAGCAGGAAGATCAGGAGTCCAAGGCTACCCTGGGCTACAGGAGATTGGACCAATCTAAAAGAGAAACAGAGCTGGAAGGTGGTGTGGTACACACATTTAATCCCAGCTCATGGGAGGCTCATGCCTTTAATCCCAGCACTAGGAAGGATCATGCCTTTGATCTCAGCACATGGGAGGCTCACACTTTTAATTCCAGCACTAGGGAGATGGAGACAGGAACATAAGGTGGGTAGAGACAGGATCTCCGCCCCTATTCAATCTGAGGATTTATAGAGGTAAGAAGTCTGTAGTGGTTGCTGCTCTGCTTCTCTGATCTTTCAGCTTTCATCCTCAATATCTGACTCTGGGGTTTATTGATAAGACTAATTAGAATCTTACTTCAAACTGAGACAGAAGAATCTCTGGCAATGTATAGAGTGAGTTCAAGGCCAGTCTGGGCTTCGCAACAAGATCTTGTCTTTACAAAAACATAAATCTTTTTCTTTTTTTTGTTTTGTTTTGTTTTGTTTTGTTTTTTTCAGGCAGGGCTTCTCTGTGTAGTCTTGGCTGTCCTGGAATTTTCTCTGTAGCCCAGGCTGGCCTTAAACTCACAGAGGACTGCCTGCCTCTGCCTCCCGAGTGCTGGAGGCCTGTGCCACCATGCCTGACAATTTCTTAACTATATCTAAATGAACACCTAAATGGTTTCTTTGGGAGTGGGGCTGTTATGACAGGGTCTCTCTACAAGGCCCTGGCTGTCCTGGAACTCACTATGTAGACCAGACTAGCCTTGAACTCACAGAGATCAGCTTGCCTTTGCCTCCCGAGTTATTTTACATGTCTTTCCATTTTAACCATAAAAAGAATTTATGTGACCAAATAGAAATCTTTATTTTTCCAAACTCTTTATATTCATGGCAATGTTTTCCCAAGGCAAGATAGGGTAGGGTTGGAAATAATTCTCATTTGTACAAATGAGTGGGCCCCTGGAAGTTGTCTGGATCAAAGATCTTTTTCCCAAAATGTGTTTTCCTTCCCTCTTTTTCCAGTTCCAGCTTTCAAGTAACTGTTTTCATGTTCCATTTCCATTCTGAAACAAATGATACTAAGCCTTGGTGCTGTTATTCTCAGTGTGTCTCTGAAGTTTATTTGTGAGCATTTTCTGATCTAGTCTCTGGGCTCCAGAGGAAGGGTATGTAACTGTGCAAAGTCTTTGCTGTAGAAAAAAAAATCAGCAGCTAGGCATGGTGGTGCACGTCTTTGATCCCAGTGCTTGGGAGGCAGAGGCAGGCGACTTCTGTGAGTTCCAGGCCAGCCTGGTCTACAG